CTACACATGGACTACAAGGGCACTCAACGAGGTAATGGGCACGGAGCATGTGGTCTGTGCCTGGCATGTGGAGGGGGTTTGATTGCAGCTTGGGGCAGGTGGGGGGGGTGTCCAGTGTACTACAAGATTTCCACTCTACTTTCATTTTCTAGAAACATGGGGTCAGTTGCATGTTGGTACAGCCGTCCCACCTCGTCCTCTAAGCCTTTCTCTGCATCCTGGATGGTGCCTACAGTCTGGATGGTGCCTACAGTCTGGATGGTGCATCCTGGATGGTGCCTGGGCAGATTCCTTTCAGGAAAGCTTTGCTGCTGGGTAAATTCCTATAGGTGGACTTGGGAGTGAGGCGGACTGATAATCATTTTATCACTTTCACCTCCAAGGGAATGAAGATTCTAGAATTGGGCATCTCTTCTACCCAGGATAATATGAATATTACTTAGAATTGTAACTGACAGCAACTCTTGCTTTGTGTAGCACTACAGTTTATACTTGCTTTTCACCTCATTCATTCTGTGTAAGCTTGACATCCTATTTCACAGATGAGAAAACTGAGGCCCAGAGAGCAGTGACTGGCCCAGCAGCGTGTGGCAAAGCCCAGGCTGGGGAGCCAGGTCCGTGTCTCTCCCTGGGGCTTGGGCCTGGTAGGTCTCCGCAGAGATACCCCTGCCCCCTGCCACACTCCTCCCCATCAGAGAGGCACAGACCTTGGGCCAGGGCTGGGAATGTTCTGGGGGAGGCCCGCCCACCCGTGTCAAGGCCGTGTGTAAGTGTTTTATTGTTTGCCCAAAGAGGTGTGAATGAAGTAATGGGCCTTCTCAGCCACTCCATCCGTCTCGGGCTGACAGCCGCGCCGCTAGCCGGCCGCTCTGTATAAATGCTGTCACCCCGCCATCCCCGAGCAGGCAGCTTCCTCCGGGAAACTGTAATCAGGGCCTCCCGCACCCGCAGCTGGCCCTGTCTGCAGCTCGTAAATCATGGCCGCCTTCCCGGAAAGCAGAGGGAGAGACAGACAGGGTGCCGGGGAGACAGACGGGGCCGGGTGAGGAAGAGACAACGGGACAGGAGGGCGGGAGCGAGGGAGGCAGAAGGGTAGGTGAGGTGGGGTACCATCAGAGAGGGACGGACAGACCAGGCAGAGAGGCTGCAGGGGAAAGGGGAGGGGGGCTGAGAGAGGGGCCGGCAGATGTGTAGGGAAGGAGGCACAAAAGAAACAGACTCAGAGACAGAAGAGACAGACGTAGGGACAGCAAGAGATTAGGCTAAGCGAAAGGCAGAAACAGGCTAAGTGAGGATACAGTGAGCAAAGGGAGAGTCTGAAAGATGAAAGGAGCAAGAGGAGCCACACCAAGAGATGGAGAGGGCGCTGTCAGATGGGGGCCTTGGCTGGGAACCAGGGTAGGGGTGAAATGCTGGACCAGCTAGAGGACCGATGGGGGAGTAGAACCTGGCCCCTCCTGGAACTGCCCCCACCCAACCCCAACAAGGTCCTGACTCCTCTGTGGGCTGGGCCTGACCAGCACTCAGGCCCACATCTCACCCTTGGGACCTGTAGCAGCCAGAGGGAGGCTGGTGGGTGCGAGAAGAGGAGGGAGGAGATTGACTCCCAACCAAGGGCCTTCATCCCAACATACTTCACCTTGGGAGGTCACTGGGGTCCTTTAGGAAATGGCAGTCTCCTCTAGCATCCATGAAGATTCTGGGCCCTGCAGCTGCCAGCATGCCCGATGCTCTTGTTCACCCAGTCAGCAACAAGCAGGCGCCATAGTGCATCACATTGTGATGAGTGCTGTGATGGCCACCCTGAGAGGGATCCTCTGGGTGCAGACTTGAAGAAAGTGAGGAGGTAGAACAGCCCAGGCAGAGGGAAAGACACATGCAAAGGTCCTGAGGCAGGAACATGCCCAGTACAGCTGAAGGTTAGGAAGAAGGCCAGCGTGGTCGTAGCACAGTGGGTCAGGGAAGGAGCTCTAAGGGGTGAGGTCAGAAATGGGGGGCCAGGTCATGCCAGACCTGATAGTAAGGACTGTGACTCTTCATGTGAATGAACTGGGAAGTCATTAGAGGGTCTGGATGGAGGACAGCCTGGCCTGACCTATTTTCTGCTGGCTGCTGTTTTGGGAATAGACTGTAGGGGGGCATGGGTGGAAGCAGGGAGACCCATGAAGAGGTAGTTCATCGAGATGAGAGCTGATGTGGCTCAGGCGGGCGCAGCAGTGGAGATGGCAAGAGGTCGTCAGATGTGGGACATATTGTGAAGGGAGATGACGGGATTTGAGATAGACTGGATGGTGAGAGAGGAGTCAAGAGCAAATTTGAGGTTTGGGGCCAGAGCAACTGGGAGGATGGTGTTGCTGTTTACTGTGATGGCCACGAGGAGCAAGTTTGGTGGGGCACGGGTGTGCCTGATCAAGGCTTGGATGTTGGAGCTGAGGCCTGTTGCTCATCCGAGTGGAACCGATGAGTGGGCAGTGGGAGAGCGCGGCCAAGCTGCGGACACAGACTCAAAACTGTCAGCAGGTGGGTGGTATTTAGTCTTGGAGCAGGATGAGGTCACTGGGGAGCGAGTGAAGACAGTCCAAGGCTGAGTCTGCGGCCCCAGCCACGTCTAGAGGTTTGAGAGATAAGGGAGGAAGCAAAGGAGGTGGAGGAGGAAGGAGGCCAAGGCAGGGAGGCCTTTCAAGGAGGCTTGACACCAACCCCCAGCCAAGAAGGTGAGGCTGAGAAAGGGCCTGTGGGTGGGGCAGACCTCCATGAGGCGTTTGGGAGACTGAGGCTGAGAAGCTGACTGGAAGGTGAAGTCACAAAGGAGAGGCGGAAAGGAGCAGTGGATAGTGAGTGCAGACAGTTCCTTGGGGGAGTTTCGATAAAGTAAGAAGCAAAAGTTGGAAGGAGAGGGTGGAATCAAGAGAAAACTTTTAAATTATTTTTTGATGATTTTAGGTTTCTAGAAAAGCTGCAGAAACTGCAGACTGTTCCCAGGTACCCTTCACGCAGCTTCCCCACCGCTAAGGTCTGCCATAACACAGTTCGCATCTCAAAACTAAGACTGACATCACTACCAGACCATCAACCAAAATGCAGATTTTACTCAGATTTCAGCAGCTTTTCCAAAAACCAGTGTCCTTTTTCTGTTCTGAGATCCAGTCCAGCTGAGGTGACCGCGTTGTTTGGTAGAAAGGGTCTTCTTCCTTTTCTCACTATGGGGCATCCAGTCCAGCAGGAGGGAGGCAGTGGTGACGATGCCTTCCAAGGGGGCAGGGGCCTGGGGACAGGACCCACTGCCCCCTGTGACCACTGAGTGCCAGTTCTACTTCTCATGCCCCATTGCCTCTACATATGGTCTCGTTTTGGAATCCCAGAGGCACATAGGGTGGCTGAGAAGAGGGACCCAGAAAGCAGCTGTGACTTGGCTGAGGCCTTCAGTTGTGGAGCCAGGATCCCAGCTCGAGGAACCCGACTCTGGACTGGAGCTGGCAACCTGTCCCTCCACTGCAGCTGGCAGGCTCTGGGCGTGCGGGCAGCAGGCAAGGAAGGACGGGGCCGGGGACAAATGCAGAGAAGACTAAAGGCATAGCACAGAGGTGGTACATCAGCTCTGTACCCCTGTACTTCAGTGGGGTCCCCCAGTACATTAGCTCTGTCTCCGCTAGTATATCAGCTCTAACCCCCCAACCATGGTACTTCAGCTGTGCCCCCCGTACATCAAGTCTGCCCCCCGGTCATCACCTCTGTCCTTCCTGGTATATCAATGTGACACCCCACACCCAACACATCAGCTCTGTCCCCTAGTACAACTCTGTGCATCAGCTCTGTAGCCCGGTACATCACTCTGCTCTCCTACCGCCCCCCAATGCACATTGCACCTTGCCTCCCCACTCCTCTTCTGGAAACTGCAGTACACCCCAGTACAAGCCCACCATCCCTGGTCCGAACCCCGCAGGGCCACACGTGCCTCAGACTTCAGAACAGCTCGGATTTTAGGAGGGTAATCCGGTACACACACTGCAGTTTATAATAACCCCTGTGGGGTCTGAGCAGCACTCTCTCTGCAAACACATTAATATTTCTGCATTGAAATGTATGAATATTCACAGTAAGTGGGGAAAATGAAGACCATAAATAGCCCCGTGACAGTTCAAGTTGTGCTTTACAGACTCGGGAGGTAGTGAAAACTTGGCTTTTGGAGCTTCTTGGATTTCAGGATTGTGGGTATGGGACAGAGGACCTCTCAGGAGGCCCCCAGCAGGGAGGGCTGCTCAGCCTGCATGCGGTTGGACCCACACATTTGCTTATTCCTGATGGGGGTCAGGATCCCTGTGCTCCTCCTGGGAGCAGGCGGGTTGGGCACACACAAATCTACACGTGTACACACATGTGTACACACGCACACACACGCATACTAGGGGCAGGTCTTCCCTCACCGAATCCTCATCTTTCTCTCAGGGCTGAAAGGGGCCTCAGAGGCATCACTTGAATCCTCTCGACAACATCCCCACCAAGTGGTCACCCAGCTCTGCTGAGGCGGTTCTCTGCCCACCCCCTTCTCCTGCCTCCCCCTCCCCCTCCTTGCTGAGCTTTCCTCCCTATACTCTCTGGTCTCCTCCAGAATGGAGCAGCCCTTAGCCTTTTTATTTTTTTAAGATTTAGTTATGCATAGAAGAACTGGGGTTTAGGCCAGAGAGGGGCGTGTATCCACTGAAATACATTGCTAAAGGGAGCAGCGGACGAGAAAGGAAAGGTCTGCTGCACCATGTGGGTCAGCTCCCTGACCGGGGATGAACTTAGGTCTTAGCCTTGGCTTTTTTTTTTTGCCCAACATTCTAAAAAAAAAACAAAGACATTTCTTGAAAAGTTCTTATTTTGAGATCATTTAAACTTACAGAAAATATGCAAGGATAGTGCAAAGAACACCTGTATATTCTTTATCCTTAGTCGTCATTTTTACATTTGGCTACACTCGCTCTCTCTCACACATGAATGTTCATATTTTTTTCTAGAACCATTTGAAAGCAGACTGTGGGATGCCACTCTGTGCTGTCAATTTCAGTGTAAGTTTTTGAAGACTGAAGATCGCCTTTTAACATAACCACAACACACAACCCTATAATCTAGGAAGTTTAACATTGATGCAAAGCTTTTATCTGATCCATAGTTCTCCCTGAGGATCTCAGTCACTTTGCTCATGGATTCTTAGACTAATCAGCAGTGTCTGGGGTAAATTCTGGTGCTGAGCAGACTGAGTCCCGGTCAAGACTCCTTTAGATTAGTCTGGACTTCAGACAGGAACAATACTGGTAGTTCTCAAATCATGCCCCAGGGAACCCTAGAGGTTCCACAGAGGGGGAGTAGGCAGCAATTTGGAATGAGATTTGTTTGAAGACAAAAACTACTTTAAAGAAAAGAAGGTGGAAAAACACTTAGAGGCCAGTCTTTTCGTTCACAGTTGAGAAGGCAGCTTGGAGAGGTTAAGGAGACTGCTCCCTGCTACTCTGAGAGTTAGTGGTCAGTCCAGCAGGGAGAGAAAACCTATTTATTCCTTCCACCAACACTTCTTGAGCACAGGGCGGAGTGCTGAGAGCCTCACCCTGCATCTCGGCCATGACAAAGTTCAGCCTGCCCTCCAGGAGCTGCTTGTGGGACCAGACAGGGCTCTTGTCCCCTGCGCAGCTCTGCTGGATTGGCTTGAGCTTTCATTCTAGTCCAAGGACCCCAGAGAAGGGAAGAGGGCTGGTGAATCATCAGGGGTGTTTCCAAGAACAATAGCCTCTTTTAACAAACATTTGTTCTATCAGCAAACTTCTGAACATTCAACAAACATTGGTCGATTCAGCAAATATTTGTTCTCTAGCCAGTGTTGACTCAGTTCCTGCCCTGTGCCTACTGCTGGGCGGCCTGGTGTTGGGGACAGAGCGCCAGGCGGCAGGAAGGCCAGGCCAGGCCTCAGCGAAGGGCTTTTCTTCGGGCTCTTTCTGGCCCAGCTCTGCCACCCATGTCATGGCCTTGGCTAAAGGAATGGAGGACCTCAGCACCTAGCTTCTAAGGGCTTCATTCCCAGGCTCCCCCTTCACAAACACCTTCACATCATCAAGTGGTTGCTCACCCACTGACGGACACCCGTGGGTCCTGTTTCCAGGGAGCAACGCAGTGAGAGTTACTGGAAATCTCCCTCGAATATGCACAACCTTCGAACCACTTCTAGGAACTGTGTCTCAGGAGTCCTCTGTGGTATGTACTGAGGTTTAGCCTCGAGGATTGTTCATAAGAGTGAACAACAGAGATCAACTTCAGTGTCTGCTTGGGAAGGAAATTCATAACTCATGTCTGTCCTAGGATGAAAGGTGTCTGGGATGATGAGGAGGAGAACGTCATGTCAGGGAAGAAAGTTCCCAATATTAAGAAAAAAGTTTCAAAATAGGATTCACTGGATGACCCTAGTTTTTTTTTGTTGTTGTTGTTGTTTTTTTAATTTTCTAGAGGCATGTCTTATTTATTTATTTATTATTTGTTTGTTTGTTTGGTTTATACATGCACTGGGTACAGTCAGAAGCGCGGGAGGGTGAGAGAATTCACCAGAGCCAGAGCAGGGAGCAGAGCAGGCAGAAGGACCGAAGTACACTGCTGAGGGGAGCAGCGGGCGGCAGGAGAGGTCTGCTCACCATGTGGGACCCTCCTCCAGTGGCCGGGGAGCAGCCGGGGATCGAACCGGTGCTGCAGAGGCTGCAGGCAGCTTCGCAACCCAGCGCTCAACCGCTGCGCCACCGGGGAGGCCCTGGATGACCCTAGTTTTTAAGGAATATATATACACATGGAAAAAATCTGATTGGATGGACCCCGGAAGTGTGAAAAATTAGTAGGGAAGAATTACAAGTGATTCAAAACTTTTTTTTTTTGGCTTAATTATGCTCTCCTGATTTTCTGCAATGAATATGAATAATATTATAATTGGAAAATAATACACAGAAGTGTAACCATTCCCTTAAATTCAATGGAGCACCAGTTATTAATCCTTCCCCTGGTATTTCTTATACAGCACTCAGCTGCAAACCTTTATTACTGAAACAACACCATTGCTAGAAATTTGCCCAAGGTAAACATATAACCCTGAACCCCAAGTGGTAGTCTTGCTGATCATCAGCCCCTCTGGGTCCTGGGCTTTGTACCCGTATGTCTCATGTGGGCATGCATGCACGTGTAAGGACAGATATGTACACAGATGTGTTTCTTGGGGCTGGACATGCTGCCAGAGGGAGGTAAAATAGGGGCTGGGACAGTCATCTCAAACCCAGAGAAGGGAACAATCATTGACTAATCATTTTCAGAGGATGGATTCACTGAGATCCCTCCCCAATTCTTTTTCCAAGCTACCCCAGATATACACTCACACACTCAAGAGACACACGTGCGAACACTCCTAACAGCAAGGCATGGCTTCTTGCTGGGAGAAAAACAGAGACAAAGGATTTCAAGACAAGCAGTGGCCTCATTTGTTTGCAGAATCCCTTTGGGAGTGCTCCAGCATGTGCATGCACACACACATGCACGCACACACACAGGTGTGCTCCCAAGTCTGCTGCATCTGTGTGTGCACATGTGCTCTTAGTGCTGCCACATGTATGAGCAGCGTGGTACCATGAAAAGAGACAGATGTCCAGGTCCCAAGCCCAGCTTTGCTGTTCATTAACCTTGTGAATCTGGGCAAGCTGTGGCCTCTCCAAGCCATTGTTTCTTCTGGGAAGTGGGTTGGGAAGTGGGAAAGAGGGGTACAGACTTGGTTCATAAATATGAAATCTACCCACATCGAAGGTCTCATGCTGATATTTTTAAAACTAATAGTAAATTATAATATTCATAGAATCTGCCTCTCCTCTACCTCTAAAGGTCTGGGATGGAATGCCAGGAGAATAGATTCTTGCTCTGCTCACCTCTGTCCTCTTGCCTATATCATGTTAGTTGCAAAATCTTAGACTTCTCAAATCTTGCTGGGGAAAGGATCTTGGAAGTGACCTAGTCAAAGCGGTGAATGGTTTCTTTCCTAGTGAGGCGCCCCGGCCTCAGTGGAGCATGGCACACTCATTCTAAGCCTGTGGCTTTGGTCCCTGTGGCTTAGGCCAGCTCAGGGAAGGCATCAGCTTCTGCTGCAGGGCCAGGGCAGGAACTTCAAGCAGAGGGAATCAACAGACCCAGGAACTCCCACTGACTCGCCCCAGCGAGGGGCGGGGCTAGGCCCAGGGGCCCTGCTGGTGGAGCCGGCCAGGCTGGGATTTATGGGTCCCTCTAGGACACGTAAAAGATCACATTAAGTGCAATAAATGTAGATCACGCTCCTAAATAAGCTGAGATTTATCCCCGGATCCTCTCTGCAGGGGCCAGCCCCATAAATCCTGCCAGAGCCTGTCCCCTGGCCAAGGGATGGGGGAGGGGAAATGAGAAGGGGCTGGTCGAGGAGCAGTTCCAGGTACTGAATGACTGGGGCTAAGGTGGGGGTTGGGGGGTCCCCCAATGGGACCAAGTGAGGGGGTGGGGCAAAGATGGAGCCCATGCTGCTCACCCTCCTTTCCTCAGCACAACCCCTTCCCTTGTGTTCACCCACTTCATTCTTTCCTGGCCCCTGCCTGCTTATGATCTCATTATAGACATTAAAACAATAATGACTCTAATGCTGAAGATCTGCGGCTTCGGCTTCTAAATGTTAGGAAGCTCAACCCCAGCTAGAATTGCCTTTGTCCACTGCGGGGGGTGGAGTGGGAGGGGGGGATCCATTAAGAAAAATGTATTGAAGGAAAATGCAAATTTACAGACCAATAAATTAGGGGATGATTAGTCACGTTGCAGTCTGTCTTCAAAGGATTCTTTAAAGGCTGTGCTCCTTCATTTAAGTGTCTGTTTATAGCTCAGTAACTTCCAGACTGAGAGGCTGGAGGCCCCACTAAATGACAAGGGAAACTTCGAAGATGCAGAGAAAAAGGGAGAGGGCCCCCTTCCTTAACCAGCCTGGGATAAAACATCCCTGCAAGGCCATCAGAATCATCTGGATTGTGTCGATTCAACAAACGTTTGCCTTGCAACTACTATACACCACGTACAATCCTGACATTGGGGAGACGACAAGATAGGATCCCCAGGACCCCCATGGACTTCTCAGGTTGGGGGTGGGGCGAGGGAATTACAATGATCAGATTCACACTGGTTCCAAGTGGACTGGCTGCTATTTATAGGCAACAGCTTCTGAGTACTTCTAGTGCCAAATGTCAGGGACGGTCCATGTGCATGATGGCGGAAGAAAGCAAATTAATAAAAGATGGAATTTTTCAAAAGGAAAAACAGATATAAATGTCATGGTTTTTCCAGCTTTCCCAAAGAACAAATACAAAATTTGGCCTTCATGGAACTGATTGCCCCAGAGTCCTTTGCTCTGTGACCTGGATCAAATCCCTCAGCCACTTAGTGCCACTGACCACGGGAAGACAGAAAACATGAGCTCACCCCTGGCCACCTGCATCTCCAAGGAATCTCTTCCAAGGGTGAATAGAGGCCTGCTGGAGTCCTTCTACCCACCATTTGCAACCTCACAGATTTTTCTGCCAAGCTCTTCTTAACCTCATGTCTCTGTTCGTGTTGTCCTCTTTGACATAATGCCCTTTCTCCTTTTCTCTTCCTGGCAAGCTTCCACTCTTCCTGCAATACCCAACTCCTACTCATCCTGCAGTATCCAACTCTGTCAAGAACTTACCATATTATGTCGAGATGTATCCATCCATGTCTGCTGCTCCCACTGGATTGCAAGCACCTTGAAGGCGGGAGTTAAGTTGTGTGAAGCTCTTAGAGCCAAGCACCATGCCTGGCATGTGGGTGCTGCCCGAGAATTGTTTATAGAATGATGGGTAGACATAGTTACTGAGTGTTGGGCACCCACTCTATGCAAAGACCTCACCTACAACAACTTGGTGAGGGAGGTTTTATCATCATTGTTTTATTTGCTTATTTCATTTCCCAAGGAGAGTACTAAGCTACAACAAATAAAACCTTGAATGTTTGATAAATATAAAACTATCAGAAGATATATACTCTTGAAATACTTAAAATAATATTGTAAGTTTTAATACTTCTACTTTGCTACTTTTAAGTTTATTTCAACTAGTTTAACATTCGGGAAAGGATTTTTAAAAATACATAAAATTGGGCCTCTCCTGGTGGCGCAGGCGGTTGAGCGCAGCGCTGTGAAGCCTTCCGCTGCCTCTTCAGTGTGGGTTTGGTTTGATCCCGGCTGGCCAGGAGATACCCACATGGTGCGGCAGACCACTCCTGTCTTGCCCACTGCTCCCCTCAGCAGTGTATTTCAGTCAGTCTGCCTGTTCTGTTCCCTGCTCTGTCTCTGGTGGGTCCTCTTGCCCTCAGGCACATCTGATCTGTACCCCGGTTCTTATATAAATAAATAAATCTTTTAAAAAATACATAAAATCTCGTGTAAATCAGGGCACACATTTTCCCCCCAACTCCAGTATGACAGTGTGCTTTTTCATTTAAAATTTTGATATTTTTTCATCATGGATTTTTTGGCTTTTTTTTTTTTTTAAGTATTGCACTAAGATACTGTCTTGATTACTGAGGTGTTTAGGTGCTCCGAGAGCACGACAAGGAAGGGCTTGCTCCGTTCCAAGTGTTGGAGATACAGAAGAATACAGGCTAAGAGTGATACACATCGAAAACCAGGAAAGTTCCTTCGCTTTGACCTACCAAAACCCCATCTCTGGAGATTTAGTTAAAGAAACTATGAAAATAGTTTCCTGTTTTTCATAGTTAAAGAAACTATGAAAATAGTTTCCTACCAAGGTTTTCTGTACGAGGTGGTTCAGCTCCATGCTATTTATTACAGTAGAATGCTGGAATTCACCTGAAGGCCCGACAACAGATTCGTTTTCAAAGAGTCTGTTTATCCATGTGATAAAATATAATGCAGTTGTCTTGAATCATGTTTTTTTCCCCAAAATAATGTTTTTGAAAATATTTAATGACGTGGGGAAACATTCAAGATGCCTTTTATAGATGTACACAATATTCTACTTACAGGGTACACAAAAGAATTTTTTTTTATAGAAGTATGTTTTTATTTATTTGTTTGTTTTGTTTATACAAGCACTGGGTACAGTCAGAAGGGAGGGTGAGAGAATTCACCAGAGCCAGAGCGGGGAGCAGAGCAGGCAGAGGGAGCGAAGTACACTGCTGAGGGGAGCAGCGGGTGGCAGGAGAGGTCTGAGCACCATGTGGGACCCTCCTCCGGTGGCCGGGGAGCAGCCGGGGATTGAACCGGTGCTGCAGAGGCCGTGGGCAGCTTCACAACCCAGAGCTCAACCGCTGCGCCACCGGGGAGGCCCCACAAAAGAATTTTTGAGGGTGTTGGATTTGTGCTTAAGTTTCATGTCATTTCGTTTTTAAAAAACATTTGTTTTTATAAAAAAAAAAACAAGAAGATAGTTGGAAATGTTAACAGTGGCTGTCTGTAGCTGATGGAATTATTAGTTGTTTTTTTCTCCCTTCTATGTCTTATATGTTATAAGACATATTAGGTTATATGTCTTCTATTTTTTATATTTCTGATGGGGTTGTATTAGCTTTATAACCAGGAATTTAAAATAATTTTTTAAAAGATTTATTTGTTTGTTTGTTTGTTTGTTTGTTTATACAAGCACTGGGTACAGTCAGAAGCGTGGGAGGGTGAAAGAATTCACCAGAGCCAGAGCAGGGAGCAGAGCAGGCAGAAGGAAGTACACTGCTGAGGGGAGCAGCGGGCGGCAGGAGAGGTCTGTGTGCCATGCAGGACCCTCCTCCAGTGGCCGGAGAGCAGCCGGGGATCGAACCGGTGCTGCAGAGGCTGTGGGCAGCTTCGCAACCCAGAGCTCAACTGCTGCGCCACTGGGGAGGCCCTAAAATAATTTTTAATTGAGATATAAGAAGATGATATTTTAATCCATTCAGTGACTTTGTACTTCAGATAGATCTAAGAGAACAGGGATGTGCCTGTTACAGGTTTTGTGCTCATAGTAGGTGCTCCATAAACATGTTGAATAACTGCTTATGGATGAGTGACTCAGACTCCCCTTTTATTAATCAGGACTCTTGGTTAAAGAGATACAACCATAACTGGTTGAAAGGGGAAAGGAAATGTGTTGCCTCACAGGAACAGCTTCCAGCTATCAAGGACCAGTTTGGGGGTTTAGGGTCATCTATATCCATCTCTTACCCCTACTTGACTCCCCTGGATTCAGCAGGGAAGATGGCCACTGACAGCTCCTGAATCACTTCCTCCTAGCTCTGCTTCAATGTCTTGAGATAAGAGAGAGGTGGAGCAGCACAAAAGGACAGATTCTGGGTACAGCGTTTTTCCCCTATGAATTTCACTTTTAACCAGTCTTGGGAAATACGAAACTTCAGTACAGCCAAATCCAGCATCCTTTAAATTTTGATTTTTTTGGAAAACCCTGTATTCATAGGTAGTATTTATAAAGGTTGCAACATTAAGATTTTAGTAACTTAAAAGAAGTCTTAAGCTGAAAGTCAGAGGTTCCTGAGGCCTGATTCGCAATGACTACTGCACAAGAGCTTCCCTGAAAGTCTCTGCTCCTGGCTGACCAGACCTCTCTACTTCCCCCTGGACATACACTAGCCCCTTGGCCAGAGTCATTCGACATTGGCATTTACCATTCCTGAAGCTTCCAGTGATGCAGGGGAGAGGCCTAATCCATCTGAATGACAGCCTTAAGATGTGTGACACAAGCCAGCCTTCGGTCCCCAAGGTTATCAGATTCCTGTGTTTGCGGGAATTCTGTGTGTGGGTGGCACTCAGGCTGCCACCACCAGGGGCAAGTTTCTTCCCTTTTGGTAACTCCACTGCAAGAGCCGAATTCAGGTCAGAGAAGAACAGCTGGTGCCAGGCACGCTGAAGTCAGCTTCACTGGCATGGCTCTTACGACAAAGCCAACATATCGCAGCGAAGGCAGCACTTTAACCATCCCATTGTACAGATGAGGAAACAGGCTTAAAATTGGATCCAGAGAACAAGGCTCCCAACCTGTGTTGTGATCCAACACTGTAATCTTGCCACTTTGCAGGTGTTTTCCGTTGAATGCGAGAACCACTGGGTGGTATGTCAAAAAGAACTTTCTGGTCAAAGTATTTTGGGCAATACTGCAAGCTCCCCCCTCTTAGAAAGTTACAGTATTCATTAGCATTGCAAGGATTCTAGAAGTCCTGCATGAAGAAAGAAACTGGACTTTGCTTTTCCTTGTCCACCTAACTCTCGCCTTCCCATGATAACTGTATCTCGTAGGAACACACTATGGGAATCACTGTGTTATTCCCCAACTACCAAGTTCGCTGGCTCTTCCAGGCATGAGCAGTGTGGCCTTGGGCAAGTCACTTCATCTCTCTGAAAAATGCAAACAAGCATACCTACCTACAGAAAAGAGGAAAAAAGCAAAGTAGTGATGTGCAGTGCCCGGCACGAGCAGGCACTCAGCACGCTGCCACTGTCCCAGTGCTGCTGCTGTTGTTCTCATCGGTCCTGAGAACCCAGGCCCCGCCTGATCCCACATCCCACGTTGGCTTTGCCTAGTGCTCAGAGCAGGCATATCAACAGCTCAGCTTCCAGGATCAGCACAGAACTCCCTCCCCTCTTGCCAATGCCTCCCAAATGCTCACTTCTTCCATGGGGCCTCCCAATGCTGACCTCACCCTGGTGGTATCAGCGGGTGCTGGGCTGCATCTCCCCCACTATCTCAGCTCCCCACACCCAGCAGGGCCTGGGTGGAGTTGGGTAGGGGCTTGGGCCCTGTGTCTGCAGCCCCGGCAGCTAGGACTGTCACAAACTTGGCCATGGGGTGAGGAAACATAGGGCTGGCTGGCTGTGGGGTCACTGAGCAGATCATTGTCCTAAGACAAATGAGTGGAATACTGGGTGGAAAGCAGTTGGTTACCTGGAGATGTCATCTTAAAAGCTTTCTTCCTAGAAGGTAATAGAAGGATCTTTTCAACATAACTCAAGGTGGGAAGAAGACAGACACCCTTAAAGCACGGCACAGTGGAGGAGGTAGGATGGCAGGCCACTCGTTTTCCTAGGGCAAAGATCCTATTCTGTCTGTCTATCTAGCTGTCTGAAGTATTCCAGTTGAACCTCAGAGCACCATGAAGGTCTCATACACACACGCACACACATGCACACACAGGGTCAGCACCCATGGGAAAGAGTGAAGAGGGTAAATAAAGAAGGGGAGGGAGGGAGAAGCATCGGAAAGGGTTGAAAGGACCCAATGGGGGGAAGTAGGGAGGGAGGTGCCCGGGAGGCTATTCTCCAGCACTGGGTGCTGCTGCTCTGTTTGAATGAATGAATGTATCTGACGGTAGGGGAGCAAGGAGGAGGAAGTCAGTCAGATATGATTATGCCATTTCATAGAGGAGGGTGTGGAGGCTCTGTGTGGTGAAGAGCCCTAGGTCACCCCAGTTATTGTCTGCACCAGGATTTTACCCAAAGTGAGTGATCTGTTTACTCCCTTTCTCTTTAAATAGATGGAGTCCTCGGAAAAGTGACATTGCAGGGGGAAGAAAAGTACACAAGTTCCAAGCCTGGGTCTGGCTACCTTAGGCCCTGCTGGGCAGCAAGACTGAAGGATTGGATGGTGAGTCCTCCTTGATCTCTGGCATCCTTCAATAGGTGGCATGTGGGCTCTGATTGATAAAGAGGCATCGAAACTGCTGTCCCAGGGTGACCCGGGTCCTGTTGGCATTTCTAGTGCAGGAAAACGAAGACCTCACAGCCCCTCGGCTCCTGCTGCTTCTAATGAATGCATTGTCTGCCTGGTTTTGTTGTCCTAAGTTCAGACCTCCCTGGGTTTGCTTGGAGAGTGACCTCCTTCAAAGGTGAGCTGGCCTTTCTCTGCCTTGACAATCGGTCCATTCAGAGGTGGGAATGCATGGTGCTCAGGTGGATATCCACTGTAGCTGGCAAACAGCATGCAGGCAGGTGCCCTGCACCCTCTGAGTACACCTTAGGCTGGAGGTGGGGCAAGGGTGAGATGAGGCAGCTGGAGAGCCTGGGGCATCAGAGACCATGCCTTAGAACAGTCAACAGTCTGAACACCATCAAAAACTGCTCTGACATCAAATAAGCTTGAGAAACACCAAAGTTTATCTCTTTCTTAAATTTTACTGTGTGTACAATAGTATGATGAAGGGCCTGCAGTTGGGAAAGTGTTCACTTTTAAGTGAGAATTTCCATGCTTATCAACCCCTCCTTGTCTTCCTCTCTCCTTTTCTCCCTCCTTCTCTCCTTCCTTCAACACATGGTCAGTGAGCTGAGGGTCACCAGCAACTATTCCAAGTGTGGGGATTTTGCCCAACATTTGGGGACTAGGGAACACCGCAGTAAACAGAATCAAGCCTCCTCAGAACCCTCCCAGACGCTCCCTGGGAGAGAAGAGAGACAATAATGTAATATAAAGCATACAGCATGTCACATGGAGGCAAGTGCGAAGGAGGAGATTAAAGCAACAGGAATGTGGGGAGCCCTGGGGAAGGGGGTGACTTGCAATTTTAAGTATGGCAGTGAGAAAGCCCTGATCTAAGACCCAGGAGGCCAAGATGCTCACCGTGCAAACACCTGGGAGATGAGCATTCCAACTGAGGGGACAGCAAGTGCAAAGGCCCTGAGGCGTAGACATGCCTGGTGGGATCTAGAAACATCAGGGAAGCCACCGCACTCCTCCCCCCCACAACAGAACACGTTGCAGCATCTACCAAAGCAGTTTGAGAAACTGGTATGAGGTTAAGAACAAGATTATAGTCAGAAAGACTTTGGTTTTTACCCCAGCTTCGTCTCTCCCACTAGTCTATGCATCTGGACAAGAGGGGTCGCCTCTCAGAGGCTCAGTTTCTTCATCTGTTAAATAGGGAGAACAGCATGAAACTACCTCATGGAGCCATGGTGAGGGGCTGATAATGTCAGAGTGCCTTCACTCTGCCCTGTCCACAGGCCGTCCTGTGGATATTATTGTTAATATTAGTGTAGCTGCTTGAGGGAGCACGTCATGCCTGGAGGACCCTCACCTTCCAGGGAGCACTCCAGGTTGAAAACAGGCCAAGTGCCTGTTTATTCTCTCACACCTCACCTCCTTAAACTTCCCCTGCAGATCATTTTTCATTATAACCCCTCCCTCCCCAACCCTCCTGGACTGCAGATAAATACTGCATGCATCCATGAGCGCCAACTCTGGGCAGCACTTAGGATACAAGACAGACTATCACCTTCCTCTTCTGGAGCCATCAGACCAGTGGTTCTCAAAGTGTGGTCCCGGCCAGCAGTCTCAGCATCACCTGGGAACTTTTGAGAAAGGCAGATTCTTGGTCCCACCCCAGATGTGTTGAGCCATGTTGAGCGTTCCAGCCCGGTTGCGGCCCTAATGACTGCAGCCCCAGCCAGCACCATGAGGAGCAGAAGAATCACCAGCTGAGCCAGTCAATCCACAGGCACCCAAGAGATCAGAAAACTGGTAATGTTTTAAGCCACTAAGTTTGGGGGGGTTTATCATGAAGTAACAGAGGTGAGACAGGCAAGATTTGACCCTTATAAGAACTACCTGGGAAAGTACCACAGGTGGAAATTCAAACACAGCAAGACACTGTGTGAAGGAAGCTTGGGACGGCAGGAAGAGCAGTTGAGTTTGGGTTCTTCCCGCAATGTGTTGTGTGGCTCTGGGCCTAAGCCTCTCTGTACACCAGTGTCCTCCTGACATCGAAGGACTTGGGCTTCATGGTCCCAGAGCCCTGAGCTTGCTCTGCCATCCTTGATTCACTGGGCTCCTTGCTGATCATTAATCAACGTGCAGATTTCTACCTCCAAATATTTGCTCATGCTGATCCACCATGGAATGATCCAGTAGCTCCAGGGAGGCCGTGCATCCTCCTGATGATGCCAGCCAACTGCTGCTTTCCTAAGATTTCCAGAGCATGAGCTCTTTGGACCCCAGACCACTTGGGTGCAAATTCCAGCTCTATCGCTCCCTAGGAATGGCCATGAGTGAGTCTCCTAACTGCCTTGGGCCTTCTCTTCCTCATCAGTAAAACAGGAGTACCTCCGTTGTGGGAGTCATTGCGCAGACAATGAGATGATTCATATGAAACCCCGAGACCCAAGTCAGCTGCTGCTATTATTTCCCCTCATTTTCTGTCTCAAACATTTGTGCTCCATTGAGCATATTTAATTTGAGTTTTGTCTCCTAACAGTATCCCCTGTCTCCTGATAGGCTTCAGGCTTCTGGAAGACCTAAGTCGGGCTGAGGCCCAGACCACAAGATTTAGCACCAACTAGGGGAGCAGACAGATCACTGGGAGCCAGATGTCTGCATTCCTTTCACTGGCTGTGGGATCTGGGCACATAGTCTTGTTCCTCTGAGCCTCTGCTCCCTCTCAGTAAAGAGGGGGTTACTGCTCCTACTGTCTCCTCCTGGAAATTACCTGAAACACGGGGTGCAAAGCTCTGTATAAACCACCATATGCTGGATACGTGTAAGGGACGGTGGCCCAGGGCTGGGTCTTAGACCTGAAAGGCAGAAGAGCTGATTCTCCTTTTGGCTGTGTGACCTTGGGCTCATTACTACCCTCTCTGGGCCTCAGAGTCCCCTGATGCTAAAGTGAGATGGAGTCACCAAACCAGCAGACATGGTGTTTTAGCTTACATCGTGTCCTTCAGAAGTTTGAGCCTATGTCTTAAAGATTGGAGGCACAAAAATCAGTTTCTAGGTTCTTGCCAAAACATTGCACAGGTGCCACACTTCCAAATGGCAAATGCTGAGTGTCGGCTGTCCCCTGCAGAGACACGTCTGTGCTCCCCCATTCCTCATGACTCCCCACCCATACCACGCTTCCTGCCTGTCACAGATGTCACAATCCTGACAGCCATTCAGAGTTTCCAGCCCTCAAGGAGATGGCCTTGGGGGCTGTTTTCTGAGCTAACATCCTAAGAATCTCTACCCACAGGGGTTTCGACAGTTTTGCTTCCTGGTACCCGCTCAGCACATTCTGGGAACACAGTGGATGCTCTGCAAACATTGGGTTCCTGGCCCTCCCCAGCTGCCAGGTGACCTCATTTACCCCACAGCCCAGGAAGCTTGAGACACATCCTCCCGGGTGTGCGGGCCTAAGCCTCAGTGGCCTGCACAGTGTGGCCTGTGCCGCAGAAACCGGGTCCTTGTTACGCAGGAGGTAGGGCTCAGCCTCCAGGAACTGTGGTAGCTTCTCTCTGACCAGTGCCCAATTGGCAACCCCGCCCTTGCCCCACTTTCTGGCCCCCCAACAGAACTGACTTTCACCTGTGGGCAGGAATCTGCCTCTACCACACAGCAATGGACGGTGGACTCCACATGTGCGGGTGTGGCTGAACAGGACTTGTCACTTGGCAGGTGTGACAGTCTCTGTGTTAGTCAGGACTCTGTAGAGGGGCAGACCCAGCTGCATATGGAGAGATGGAGAAGATGGGATTTGTTACAGGAATTTGCTCATGTGATTATGCAGGCCGAGAAGCCCCCCAACCCATTGTAAACCAGAGACCCAGGAAAGGGAAGGCCAGTGATAAAGCTCGGCCTGAGTCCACAGGCCCATGAACCAAGAGCGCCAGTGTGCGAGGTTAGGAGAGGATGACATCCCAGCCCAAGCAGGACAAGCAGATTTGCCCTTCATCATCTGCCTTCGGCGGGTTGGATGATGCCCACCTACATGGGAAGATGATCTCTTCGCTGGACTGTAGTTTCCACTGCTTATCTCCTCCAGGAACACCCTCACAGACTCGCCCAGAAATACTGTACCAGCCACCCAGGCATCTGTTGGCCTAGGCAAGTGGACACATACAATCAGATGACACAGCTGCTTCAAGTCCTTAACTTTTCTGATCCTCAGGCTCCTCGGATGTGTGATGGGAATGACTCTCCTCAGTCGCCTCAGAGGACGACTGCAGACCACCTCACAGGGCTGTCAGTAAAGCGTTCAGCCAGCCATGTGATGAGCGTCCTGGGCGTGGAAGCTGTCACGCCATCCTCTTCCCCCAGGACACCACAGCTTGACATTTCCAAGTCAGAAGAGATCATGTCTCCAGCTCCACTGTGAACCCAAGAAGAAATCAATGGATGTGCTAGAATTTGGTTCTGATCACCAATTCCAAAGCGTGGGGTTGGGGGTGAGGGGAGAAAAAATTCTCCAACCCCAGCTGGGTGGCCTACAATTCAGTTTGGTCCTGACCCCATGTCCCTGGCGATACCAGATCCCACAGGTTAAGGCCTCAATCCTACAAAGCCATTCCTCACCCCAGCCCCAATTTCAGATGCCAGTAACAAGTCCAGGTTGGCATCTGTGCTTCTGATCAACCAGGGAGAGAGCTTGGAGGGCCCCCCCCACCATGTTCAGTGAATTTGCTAGAGCAGTTCACAGAACTCAGAGGAACATTTCACACCCCCCTCTCCAGAAAGGATGTCTGCTCCAGACCCCAAATCTAGCTGACACTCATCAAAACCTGCCATAGAACAGCTGTGGCAGGACCAAAATATTTAGCGGTTTCTTCAGCCAGAGGGTTTCTTCAGAAAGAAGACTAATGATGCCCTGCGTGGGGGGCCTGCAGGGGAGAGGTGTGGTA